TTCTAGACCTCCTGATCATTGTGGAGTACTTCTAAAGTCAATCACTGTGTGTTATAAAAAATTTATATCGAGTTTTTAATTATTTATATCGAAATAGTTTGATTTTGTAACCTCTAAATCGTCGAAGAGTCCATAGGAAAGAAACATTTGATGTTTGCAGTTTTGAGAGAGCCTTTACTTTAGCTCCCGGACTACCTGATCATTATGGAGTACTTCTAAAGTCAATCATTGTGTGTTATAAAAAAATTATATCGAGTTTGATTTTGTAACCTCTAAATCGTCAAAGAGTCCGCAGGGAAGGAATATTTGATGTTTGCAGTTTTGAGAGAGTACATCTAAGGTCAATCATTGTGTGTTATAAAAATTTATATCGAGTTTTTATTGTTTATATCGAAATAGTTTGATTTTGTAACCTCTAATTCGTCAAAGAGTCCGTGTTATCTGGTAGTTAAGGAGCATTTGGTGTGTTTGTGGTTTTGAGAGAGCGACTTACTTTAGCTCCCAGACTTCCTGATCATAGATTGAGGAGTACTTCTAAGATTAATAATTGTGTGTTATAATAAGTTTATATCGAGTTTTTTTATTTATATCGAAATAGTTTTGATTTTGTAACCCTAAATCGTCAAAGAGTCCGTTTATTTTGTAGTTAAGGAGCATTTTGGTGCTTGCGGTTTTGAGAGAGCCTTCACTTGAGCTCCCAGACTTTGTGATCTTTGTAGAGTACTTCTGAAGTCCATCAATTTTGTGTTATAAAAAATTTATTTCGAGTTTTTATTTATATATCGAAGTAGTTTGATTTTGTAACCTCTAAATCGTCAAAGAGTCCGTTTTTTGTAGTTAAGGAGATTTGGTGGCTTGCGGTTTTGAGAGAGCCTTCACTTGAGCTCCCAGACTTTGTGATCTTTGTAGAGTACTTCTGAAGTCCATCATTTTGTGTTATAAAAAATTTATTTCGAGTTTTTTTATTTATATCGAAGTAGTTGATTTTGTAACCTCTAAATCGTCAAAGAGTCCGTTTTTTGTAGTTAAGGAGCATTGGTGTGCGGTTTTGAGAGAGCCACACTTGAGCTCCCAGACTTTGATCTTTGTAGAGTACTTCTGAAGTCCATTCATTTTGTGTTATAAAAAATTTATTTCGAGTTTTTAATATTTATATCGAAGTAGTTTGATTTTGTAACCTCTAAATCGTCAAAGAGTCCGTGTTTTTGGTAGTTAAGGAGCATTTTGTTTGGTTTTGAGAGAGCCTTTATTTTAGCTCCCAGACTTCCTGATCTTTGTGGAGTACTTCTAAGGCCATTCATTGTGTGTTATAAAAAAATTATATCGAGTTTTTAATTATTTATATCGAAATAGTTTGATTTTGTAACCTCTAAATGGTCAAAGAGTCCGTAGGAAAGGAACATTTGATGTTTGCAGTTTTGAGAGAGTCTTTACTTAGCTCCCAGACTCCTGATCATTGTGGAGTACTTCTAAAGCCAATCATTGTGTGTTATACAAAATTTATATCGAGTTTTTAATTATTTATATCGAAGTAGTTGATTTGTAACCTCTAAATCATCAAAGAGTCCGTGTTATCTGGTAGTAAGGAGCTTTGGTGTCTGCGGTTTTGAGAAAGCCTTTACTCTAGCTTCCAGACTTCCTGAACATTGTGGAGTACTTCTAAGGTCAATCATTGTGTGTTATAAAAAATTTATATCGAGTTTTATTTATTTATATTTTACCGAAATAGTTTGATTTTGTAACCTCTAAATCGTCAAAGAGTCCGTGTTTTCGTAGTTGAAAAGCATTTGGTTTGCGGTTTTGAGGGAGCCTTTCCAGTTCTAGACCTCCTGATCATTTTGGAGTACTTCTAGGTCAATCATTGTGTGTTATAAAAAAATATATCGAGTTTTATTATTATATACCAAAATAGTTTGATTTTGTAACCTCTAAATCGTCAAAGAGTCCGTGTTTTTGGTAGTTAGGGAGCATTTGGTGTTGCGTGTTGAGAGAGCCTTTACTTGAGCTTCCAGACTTCCTTATCTTTGTGGAGTACTTCTAAAGTCAGTTCTAAGTGTGTTATACAAACTTTATCGAATTTTTTGTGACGACGACTGAATAGATTTTTGATGGTTCGAAAACAGTTCGATTGGTATTTACTGTGGGGGCTCTTAGATTATTTTCCAGACCTTCTGATCACTATGGAGTACTTAAATCTGAATCGTTAAAGAGGCCGAGTCTTCTGATCATAAAGGAACATTTGACCTCCTTTTGTATTGTACAAACTTTTTGTTTATACAGTGGTACCCCGCCTTACGAGTGACTCCTCGTACAAGATTTTGAGATACGAGCTGCCGAAAGCACGGCTCGTCTTCTTCTTCATACGAGCAAAATTAGTAATACAAGCCTGTTGCATTTAACTGTATTTATACGCAAAAAATTACTACTGTACTTTGTGTAACACGTAATTTTTTTTACAAAACAAAATGTTCCTTAAAAAACTCCTCCAGATGACTCTGTAGTCAAATTTTCAGCCAAAAGATGTCGCCACTGTTGAAGAAGGTAAGTTTTTATTAATAGTCATTAATAAAATTATTATTTGTCATAATTTTATTATTATATGTTTTAGGTAATCGTTTTTGGTATCAGGGTGCATAGATTTTTCATGAATACAGTGATGAGTGGAACATGTCAATGGTGAGTGCGTATTTATTTATTTATATATGACCTGCAAGATGATATATCAAATGTTTTATCTTATCTTAGTTTTTGTTAAATTTTAGATGATAAAGTAATTTAAATCGACCTTGTTTGCAGATTTAATAATCCGCTTTAAGTTGAAGTTCGTTTAAATAAACAAGAGATGTCGTAAACATGTTTTTCAAGTTCACTTGTAAAATTATCGTGTGTATTATATATATATATATATATATATATATATATATATATTATATTAGGGTGGTCCTTAACAAGGACATTTTCGAATTTTATTGCTCCCAAGGGCGCCAATGCTTACAAATGAATAAAAAATGACTCTTTAATAGTATTCTTAAATTTTCTAGAAAAAGTTTCTTATATTTGTTTATAACATACGTCATTAAATAAATTCTTGCGCCATCTGTATAGTATTTCAAAGAACTCAAATATTATGACACATAAGAATATTTATAAATTACTTAACATCTAATTAAATCCTATTCATCATGGAATCAAGATTAAGAGCCTTTAGAAAATTATTTAAAATCCATACGTTTCGGCTAGCATCTTAGCCTTCATTCAGTGGCAATCAATTTAACTATAAAAATGAACACTAAATAATAATTTGTAAGAAATTTTGTAAGAAAATCAATAATAATAATAAAAAAACACTAACAATTTTGTATCCTAATATAACAGACGAAAACATTATTACTCCATGGATGAGTATGTGCACAGTGGTAAAATATATAGTTTTTAACATCACAAATGGCAAAACACATAATAAACATGAGTAACTTTTAATAAGTTGTCGAAACTATGTATTGACTATTCGGATTCTTCTAAGATAGAAATGTCACGTTTTTTCTTGAAGCAGTTCTTAACATATGTTCAAATTTTACGAGGAAATTAAAAAAGCGATGAAATCTTGTCATTTTTTAAGAAATTTTGACACGCTATTTAGGAATCACGTGTTTGTTTCGTTCAGGGCCTTGTTGTCAAATTGTTTGTTTATGACCCTGTTGTTATGCATTTGCAGAAACAACCCCTAAGCGAATTTTCTTTTAATTACGTTCTCTTCAAAATCTAAAATTTTTGGCTTGAAAAAATCTGTTATGGTTGAAATTATTTTGTATTCGGTTAACATAGTCTTGAATTGCTTGGTATTTTTCCGATATAAAAAAGTTCGCAATTAAAGCAATTAATCTGATATACTAAGTTCCTGGCGGTCAGAATTAAACGTAGATTCAATTTGTGTATTATCCCATTATGTATATAGGGTGTCCCAGAACTTAACGTTAAGCCGAAACGGGGTGATAGTATTGATCTTAACTCTCCTGAAAAAGAATTAGAAATTGGAAATTATGGGCTTTTAAGTGCAACCTAGACTTTTGAAGAAATTATGACTAATTTGGTTACTGTAGTTAATTTTTTATTAATTTAATTCATTTAAACTTTGGAACCATAACTCTGAATAACATTTCTAGGACCACAGTAAAAATGATAGCACAATGCACAAAGATTAAGACTTTTTTTTTCAATTATAAATTCAAAATTTTTAAAATTACTAGACTTTGAGAGGCCTCCTTTTCATTTCAAACGTCATTACTTTAATAATATGCAAATAAATATTTAAATAATATAAGATATGATAATTGTAATTGACAATCGTTACAGATAAGATAAGCAAGTATAAAAATGAATCTTGAACTTGTATAATTATTAAATTAATTAATTAATAAAGACAACTCTAAAACACAACGCCAGCATAGAAATGAAGTTAATAGTAAATATCTTTAAATATTAAATTTATATTAACTAATGATTTGAAATATAAAGTTTGCAGTAAACACCGTGTGATTTGAATTCTATCTGAAATCCACAAGCGTGACTTCAGCGCTGTGACACCGATGTGGAATTTATGTGGATTTCAGATTGCTACTTCCACTCGGTGTTTACTGGATTGCACCAACTAAAACAATAAATTCATTGATTTTCTTCTAGCTCTGCCTATTACTCTCAGTTTCATTCGTCCATGGTTGGCCGACCTTCTTCTCCCTTTGGGGCAGTTCTCAAGATGACACCACAACACAAGATGCATCACCAGATGATGGAATCCCTGCAGCCCTTGATGGAATCCCTGCAGCCCTTGATGGAGTCCCTGGAGCCTTTGATAGAGTTCCAGCAGCCCTTGATGGAGTCCCTGCTGCTGCTGGAACCCTGCTGAAGAAGCCAACCACAACCACCACAACTACTACAACGACAACCGCAAGGTGGCCGACCGAGGAGACCACGACGCAGACCACGGGAATGGACACTACAACCACAACAGAGATGCCAACGACGACTACAGAGGTACCAACGACGACGACGGAGATGCCAACCACGGAAATGTTAGTGGAAAGAGTAATATATGGTAGTAAATTAGTAATAGTGTGCCAGAAGACAGGTTCAAGGTGTGAGCCACCATAAATAAATGATGTAAGGATTACCCTTCATCGTCTATAATTCCCATTACCACTTTTTACATATTTTTATGTATTTACCTTTCCAAATCTTTGCTTCCATGCTTCCTGATCCTGCACTTCGGCTTTCAGTTCCCTGTATTTTCTCTTCTCGCGTAAGTCATCAACCATCTGCATTCTCCTTCTTCCCAATCCTTTTATTCCTTCTGTTCTACCCTCGACGACGACGTGCAGGAGGCACTTTTTTTGCAGAACGGATCCAATCCAGTTTCCTTTTTTTTTTCAGTAGAGTCTTTTCTTCGCCCACCTTTTTCAAGACTTTTTTATTATCTTGTCAGTCCACTTTATCTTCTCCATCAGCCTCCAGCACCACATTTCAAAAATTTCCAAGTATTTCTTGACGACTTTTCTTAGAGTCTATGTCTCTGATCCGTACAGAGCTATGCTCCAGACGTAAATTTTACAAAGATCAGGAGGTCTGGTCACTGTACTAAGATTCCGTACTGTCAATGCGAGCTGAATGGCATTTGATAATCATTTGAATCATCAAAATCGGTTCAGCCGTATTCACTAGTACATTAATTTCACATTACTTTGTACAGCTCACCATGAATAATTTTGTAAGTACTCCAAAATGATCACTGACCACTAGTCTAACATTTTATGGTGTCGATACGAATCCAATGGTATTTGAATGATCAAAATCTGTTCAGACGTTTTTCAAAAAATCAGAAACTTCGTACATAAAGTACTTCAAAACGATCAAGATGCCATAAGTTGTTTTGTTGAGTTTTTTAATTAATATAATTAATATATTATTTTATTTTAAAAAAAGTATAACTTTTTTTTTTCTCCGGACTTCCTGATCGTTTTGGAGTACTTGTTATTATTTTATTCCGTCTTTTGGAGAAATTGCTGAAGCTATTTTGATGATTCAAAGTATTTTTGATACTAATGACAGTATCCAGTTAACTTTCATATCTTTATGTCCATGCTTCCTGATCACACTGGTGCTCTTCAAAGGCAATCATTTATTTTTAAAGAAAACTGCTAAACCGATTATGATCGGATAGTTCAACAAGCATTAGATTTCTGTATTGCAAAGACTTGGTTTAGTTTCCAGACTTCCTGCTCATAGTAGAGTACTTTATATGCGATATTTCTATTTTTGAGAGAACGGCTGAACCGATTTAGATGGTTCGAAAACCATTCTATTGGTACTGACAGCGCCAGGACTTAGTTAAGTTTTAGTTAGTTAAACCAAAGCAAGTTTAAATAAAATCATCAGATTTTTTACTAGCTATATTTCTATTCTTTGGGAGAACGACTGAACCGATTTTGATAGTTTAAAAGCCATTTTATTCGTATCGACAGCGCGAGGACTTAGTTTAGTTTTAGTTAATTAAACCAAAGCAGGTTCAAATAAAGTCATCAGATATTTTTACTAGTAGTAGAGTACTTTATATAATATTTTATACTTACTTCTGAGAGAACGACTGAACCGATTTTGATGGTTCGAAAACCATTCTATTGGTACTAGTTTTAGTTTATTAAAACAAAGCTGGTTTAAATAAAATCATCAGATTTTTTTTACTAGTAGTGGAGTACTTCATATACTATATTTCTATTTTTTGAGAGAACGACTGAACCGATTTTGATGGTTCGAAAGCCATTCTATACGTGTCGACAGCGCGAGTACTTGGTTAGTTTCAAAACAAATCAGGTTTAAATAAAATCATCAGATTTTTTTACTAGTAGTTAGTTTCCAGACTTCCTGCTCATAGTAGAGTACTTCATATGCTATATTTCTATTTTTTGAGAGAACAACTGAACCGATTTTCATGGTTCGAAAGCCATTCTATTGGTACTGACAGCGCGAGGACTTAGTTTAGTTTTAGTTAATTAAACCAAAGCAGGTTTAAATAAAATTGTCAGATTTTTTCTAGTAGTAGAGTGGTAGAGTACTTCATATGCTATATTTCAGAGAACGACTGAACCGATTTTGATGGTTCGAAAGCCATTCTGTTCGTATTGACAGCGCGAGGAGTTGGTTTAGTCTCAAACCAAAGCAGGTTTAAAAAAAACATCAGAGTTTTTTTACTATATTTCGGAGATATTAAATCATATTCATTTAATAAATCGTTTTATGTGTGAGACTACTGTAATTTTAATATTAAATCTAATATATAATATATGCTTATACATTGTTTGGAATTTTCTGAATTCTATGAACAAATTATTACTTTTATTATATAATTCTATTAACCAAATCTTTATTATGTTTAGACCGACTACAACCACAGAAGAACCAACCACCACCACGAAGTCAACAACGACAACGAGCAATACACCAACTCCAGGATTTCCAAATTGGGTGCTATAATTGGCAAGTGATAAGATAATATCCACTATTCAAATAACTATTAATGTTAAAAAAAAATTCAGTATTATAAAGAACACAAACAATATTAATAATAAGTTATTCTTTATATTCAGTAACAGTATTAATTCTGTTTGTTTATGTCGTTGTAAAAATTATACAAATAAATTAATTTGGAAATATGAACAAACAACGTGTATCGAGCGACTTGTAATGGATAACACAAAATGCTAATTTAGGTTTCCATATTTTAAATCTTAAATTATAACACACTGATGATGAGACAAATCTAGTCTCGAAACGTTTGTGAAAATTATTATTTAATAAATTAGTGCAAAAAAGAGTGTTGTTTGTTCATATTTCCAAATTAATATCTACTATCCACTCAGAATACATTTGTTATATATATATATATATATATATATATATATATATATATATATATTATAGAATTTTGTGATATGAGTGGAACGTATATTAAATTTTGAATATGAACAATACAACACTCAGATATTTAACACACACTTTACTTGGTAATTTCAGACCTTTCGAGACGATGTCATACCTCATTTTCAGTGTAATTTCAAATATAATACACATTCTTTAATATTTTATTTAAATTACACTTAATTTTTGAAAATACAAAAAACGCCAACTAATTACAATTGTAAAATTATAATACTTTTTGTTGAGTATAATAATTTTTACATTTATAACATGTCACTACTAATTTTAATTTAATTGTTATGTAAAAATATGTTTGTGATATATTTGAAAATATATTTTGTACTTCATATGTTTTGTTCTCATTTCTAATATAAGAAATTATTCAGGTTTCTTTGTACTGTATTATCTTTACGAACCATATCTAGAAAAATGTTAAAAACGGTTACCATGGCAACGACAATCGTAAAAATATTTACCACTTTAACGGCAATAGACTTTATATTTCTAGAAATAGATAAAGTTTCTGTATAGCCAGTTGGCCGAGACCGTTAAGTTACCACTACGGTTGCTCGGTGTTTCTCGGTTCAAATCCCAAAGATGCTTGAAAAATCAAATGTCTAGTTTTTCATAAATATCAAATATTAGTTCAAAATATTAAATTCAGGTGGCGCATTTCGACCTTGACACTTAGAATATTTCTGAAAAACAAAAAACTTGACTTGGCTCGCACTTGACTGTAAGAGAAAGATGACCAAGGTAGCAGAAGAACGGGGGGAAAGAGAAGGGTAGAGGCAGATGGATGAATAAGAGAGATGTGTATGATACATATACTTTATTCAAATTCAATATTAATACATTATAAGAATATAAAAATAACTATTATCATCAATATAACAAATAGCCGAGTGGTTAAGGTGACCGCGTACTCGGTGACATCAATCTGGAGGCAGAAGGTGAGGGGATCGAATCCGGCTGGAGGCGACGACGACCAACTCTGAAGCTGAAAAAATAGAGCAGTGCTGGTGGCTGGCTGTTGGCAGACGCAGAGGGTCCTGAAACGAACACACGAAGTGATGGTCAACCTGAGATTCATGATGCGAGAGGTTACACACAGAGAGACACATTGCGGACGAGTCATGCCGAACCCTAAAATCTACCAAAAAACAACACCAAAAAGGAAAAAAAATGTGAAAAAAGCGAAAAAAGCGGGAAAAGGAGGAGGGAAGAAGGAAGGAGGGGGAGGAGGGACCAAAAAAAACCCCCTAAGTCCCAGATCAATTTTTCTCTTTTCTGTTCAGCGTTGAAACTTTTTTATGTTTTTTAGTGTTCCCTCACACCAATTCCCAAAGCCAACACTCGAATGAAATAAGGTGCACTTTGAAATTTTCGCAACGAGAAAAAATTACTGGGACTTAGTTAAAAAAAACTTAGTTAAAATTTTTAAATATGCCCCAATAAAACTTTCTCGTCTTGAAATTTTCAATGTGGTTCTCATTCATTCAAATGTTGGCTTCGGGATGATATAGCATGCACAAATAACTCGTCTGTCATAATTGAAAAGGTTTCAGTAAATATGGACTTAAAAAAATTCATCGAAAGAATTATTTAATTAATAGATGATATGATGTTAATCAAATTCAAGAAATGATCTTAATCGAATTAAAATTGTTCATATGACTTGATGTGAAACCTTTACAATTAATCGAGACAAAAACAAATGTTGTTGACTTGAACAATATACAAAGTATTGGAAAAAATTTATAAAAGAAATTCAACAAAACTTATAAAATAAAGTATTAAAAAATGTTCAAAAACTTGAAAATTAAAAACTTCAAAACTGTTTAAAGCTGATTGTTATCCTTTATCAATTGAGTTAAATAATTTTTACAACTTGAATCGAATAATAAACTTGTAAACAAAATTATGTTTTGTCTAATCATTCAAGTCAACTCTTCGAAACTTGGATTGCTAGTCCTGATCAAAATTGTTTTTAGCAATATAAGAATAAAAATCTATAATTTAGCTATACAGCAATATAATCAAATAAATTTAAAATAAAATAACATTAAAATACTTTTAAAAGCTGCATTTAATTGACAACTCAGAAAGTCATTCTGAGTATGTAAATATTTTGATCAAAACCAACAATCGTGTTATCATTAATAAGAATGTACATGCAGTCAATATCGCTACAGGGAAAACACATAATTCTTGATACTAGAAATCTTAAATCCTTTACCACAGAATAACAAACAACATCAACAAAGTTTTGTAAAATGAAGAATTTTGTAAATATAAAGGTAAATAACTTTAGCTTTATAAAATAAAATAAAAAACTTTGCCGTGTGAGATATATTTATTGTTGAAATGTTATCTGATATACAGATTCAACAGAACTAAAGTTTCATCTGAAATACCATTAATTCAGGAATTGCACAAGGAGGGATGCCAGGACCCATTTGCATATCCCTTACACAAATGATATTCAGACAAAAGTGGCTCAACAAATAAATGAAACCAAATCAAGTTATATTACTTTTACAAGAAGAACTCAGAGAGACCTTTTCTTTTAATTTATTATTTATGCAAGTATTATGAGAATAAATTAATGTCAACTAATATATACCAGAAGCAAAAACTATTGTATTATATTGATTTTTGAAATTGAAAACTAAAATGAATCAATATGTTTTCCCCATAGTGAATTGTGTAAAATCATTTTTATGTATAAAGAACATCACTTGCAAATTTAACAATTAAACAAAGTGTGTCTAATATAAGATAGATATCACAAATGTGCAAGTGATATTCGACATTTTTGCACATACGTCTGCTAAAGTAGTACTTGAGATAAATTGTATTTTATTTGTATTTAGAATTGCAAAAACAATGACAAAATATAGTTAAGCATAATATCATGTCAAATATAAACATTTATTAAATAGATTATCTAATATATGAGCTCCAATTAAAAAAAAATGAATTTAAGCTTTAGACATAAGCGTCTGTATCAATAATATTATTACGCAAATGTTTTAAATAAATAAATAAACATTTAGCAGATACATGTGCATAAAATACTAATATTGCACGAGTATAAAGCTTATACTCCATGGACTGCTAGTCGAGCATAAAATAAGTGTGTAAAATTAGAGGGGACTGTGAAACTCTCACAATTGATTAAATATCATATGTTTTATTTCAATAATATCATAATAATTGACTGATGACTGATAATTTTGTAAGAAATTATATATCATGATAGTCATTAATTACCATTAGGTATAAGTATGTATGTATGTAAACAAGCGTTCTGTGTATATATATGTGTGTATAATAGTAATAAGTAAAAATATATGGATGCCTTAGTGTAAGTCTGTTACATAAAATTTAAATTTATTTTTGTTATAATTGCTGTGATCTCTCATACCAAAACAATTGTCTGACTGAGATACAGTATGTACGAATTATATCAAATAAATAAATAAACTAGCTGTAAGTGGAATTCTGTCTTGAGGCAATTATGGCATCGTGCCTTAAGGCAAATTGCTGGAACTTCCCGCACCGTAACGAAATGTTCGTGGAATACTGAATATTTTCAAATAAATTATTATAAATATTGTAACATTGTCTAATATTTATAAAAATTATATAAACTGAATTGCAGAGTTGAAATTATTTGTAAAGTATATTAGAACTATAGTCAGAATTAAAAATAAAATCTGAAATATTTTCGATATACACAAAACCTAAAAAAAAAAAAAAAAAAAAAATTGAACAAAACTGTTAAGACAAGCAGAAAGTTCTTTGAATCATTTAAATCGGACGCTTAGTTCTCTCAAAAACTGCTATTTTTTACATATTTAGCTCCGTATCTTCGAAATGGATGGGCCTGCCTTTGCCAAAAACTAATCAGCTCTTTTCCCTATCAATAGGAATCGAATGTTTTTTGAACCATTCAAATCGGTTGATCCAAACGCCCGAAAACGTGGACGAAAATTTGTATCCATACATACATACACACACACACACACATCCATTTTTTCTGAGGTATGCCAAAATGTTCAGAAACCTTCAAAACGTCGAGAAATGTAAAAATTTTCAATTCCGATTTTCGGCCCATTACAATAACTTACCCTACGGGAAGTTAATAAAAAAAAAGACAAAGTAATTCAAGTATTATCCATTATAGTTTCATTTCAATGATATAATGGCACTTGCTAATATCATTTCTTAAAAAACAATGGATGGATACAATGGAAAAAATACGAATATTAGCAGTCCATGTAGCATAAGTTCTATGTGCATGAGTCAGCAAATATTCACTGAAATACATACAGGCTGTTTTGATTTATACAATACAAATGCAAGAAATTATTTGTTATATGTTTTAGAATCAGTTTATCAGTGCATTATTTGTTTAACGATAAATTCCTGTTTATGATTTCAGAAAAGTATTCATTGACTCGTCGATGTATAAAGGTTGCTTGGACTCACATTGACGCTTCACAGGTTGCATAGAACTAAATCCAAGTCTCCTCCTAAAAATAAACAAGCATCTGCAAGAAGCCCCGAAGCTGAACATTTGTGAATCACTACATCACACTACTTTGATCACTGACTTTATAGACTTAATTTATAATTCGCAAATGTCCAAGTGGAGTCTTCGGGACTCAACACACGACACGACGAACAACAAAGCAACGAACACTTAGAGAATTTTGTGACCTAGAATTTGACAAA